TATACTTCCTTCTGAGCTGAGCCAATATTAGATCAAATAGCAGAAGGATCGTGAAGCAGAAGGCGCATCCAATATGAAGAAGTTTGTCAAACTAAATGGTGCTCTTCTGTTGGCGGTTACGATGTAGAGATCGCCTTAAAAACTACCATTAAAGAACTTGATTCGAATGCAGCGCTCGACGACGCTTTGCGAAAATCACATTTGTTAACTTCTATTTACAGGAAGATTTGATACTGAAGCCTAACCATTCTGCTAAGCACACGAAGTAAGCATTTTCCTCATTTTCTTACTGATAGCCAGACAAACTCATAAGAAATCTTAGCCAGTCGTTACTTCAGGGGATGTTTGCTACAATGACAACCTCAAAGTACCGAGCCACCTCTGAAGATTGCAAATGATTTCAGGATCCCACAGCCAGGACCAAAGCATAAAGCACGAGATTCACAACAATTATACCATTAATTCTGCAACTGGGCGCTTACCACTGCTGTACGTATGCGTTACACCGTACTCGACACATCCCTTGCCCAAAACTAGCCTTTAATCACGTCTAAAGTACAACCTGAGCATGTGAAACCCTCTTGCGTTAACCCACTAGACGCGAACAGCAAGCGCAGCAATGAGACCAAAGACTGATCAAGGCCAAACTCAGGATGTTCTGTTTCCTTACGTTCGAGCTGCGACGAGACTTTCGATGGAACCTCTTCCCATGCTTCCGACAAAAGTCGAACATGAGAGGTTGCTTAAAGCCGCATTTCATTGTAACACATCATGGTATTATAAGAAATTCAGAACTTGTCTCATCTAAGCGTTTCAACGGCTGAACTGCTACGAAGTATCGCAAGAGGACTAATAATTTCTAAAAGGATATCGCATTCATAGGGAACACTCAAAACCAGGTAAAATGAGGTCAGACCAGTCATTGAGAATTAATCGAGTGGTAAACTGAATAAAACAAAGGAACGGTTTAGAAAACTTCTCACACGTTTTTAAAGCACAATGACGCTAAATCTGTCAAAAATTAACGCGGACAAGCAAACATATTGTGAAATAGCTCAATTTCTCATTGACGAAAATGGGATGGCAATGCGAGAAGAGAAGACGACCATTTTCAAACTACTACGGTGTCCATCAGATTAAAAACAAACGGAAAATCCATGTTCACATTCCACAAGATGATTGTGAACAAAGTTACACATAAAATGCGTGCTCTTTGTGACACTTACATTTGATTTGCAAAAGTGTAGAACCGCACAAAGCACCAAGTTTACGCGCCTTGTGACTACTAAGGGGTAGATGACAAGACTCACCTATCCTTTTTAGGGCCAAAAACCCGCATCGCCCGTCTGGAATAGTAGAAAAATCATGTATCGCTCCACGAATGGCCTTGCAAAGCAGCTATTATTTATGGTCAGAACTAATTTTACTTAACATTGTATTAGTATAGTTTCAAATCTTTAGTTAAATTTCAGTTTTTGAAGTACATAATGCAATGACCCCAACTTCTCACCAGGAAACAGAATGGCAGTATTCTATAAGGGAAGCAGAAGGACAGAGACTTGCTACGACCCAACTATCAGCCCACGCTTATAAGGGCAGATATCAGATGATCACATAGACAAGGCATCACGTATAACGCTGTGAGTGCTTTAGTGCCGGTACTGGTTGCAGACTAAAGTTGCAAAATTACCTCTGTCCGAGTAGATGTGTTCAACACAAGCAGTATGCTTCAACTATCTATAATGACGTGTTGGGACGCTACACAGCAATTAGATCGGAAAGGGAGAGATAAATGGATATCCATCAATTTCCTTGCTCAAGAAAAAAATTGTCGGAAACTCATGTTAAGCTGGCAATCCGCCCTTGCCAGCCAATGCAGCTTAAGTGTGCAACCCGTCAGAGAACTCGTCGATTATGCCTTTTCATTTCTCGCAGCAGCCCACACCAGTGAGTCAATCCCCGCCGGCACCCTTCCCTGGATCCCAAGGCACTAACAATCTCACCATCCGCCAAACCACTTCGGATATGTTTTATCAGGCAACAAATAAACGCGTGTGAATCAACAACCAGTTAAGTAGACCAAAAGTTTTATTGGGTACAGACTTGTTTACTCGCCGGATGAGATAGACCTGAGAGATAGGTTCTGACACGTTCCAAATGATGACTTGTTTCAGAATCCCCAACGACATCATACCCTTCAATAGCAGTCATTGTGCCCTTGGCATTACGAAGCGCACGCAGTAAAACGTCCTTTTCTCCGGCAGAGAGATGATATCTATTGACCAGAACATCCTGACTTGTGTCCTCAAAATCAACTCCTAGGACGCCCATTTGTACAGTCTGTACATGTACCTTAAACTCAATAGTGAACAATGGCCCATAGCAAGGAAGGCAGAGCCAGGTGAGAACTGTCCTTGTCGTATCCACACAAACTCCCGTCCAGAGATATTTGTGAGGATGCGGGACATTTAGACTTCGCATGAGAGCGCAGGACCACTTGTGTAGAAGAGCTCCATCAACAAGATGCGAAACATCAGGCAAACTTGTCAAGCTGCACAAAATAAAACATTACCACAAGCTGCTGCCGTATGACAAATCAGAGCCGTCATTAAGATGGAAATCGGAGAAGTGCCTACCAACACATGTGAACGGGTGGTGAGGTGATACCCCATCCGGTGCCCATTCCATGCATGAATCCGGCACCAGTGAAGGCGACGAAGTCGGCCACTCCAGCGAGAGGTTTGACCAAAAGGCCGATAAGGCCCCGTCCCACTCCACCAGCGAACTCCTCCGCCATGCGGACTAGGCGGTGCGGTGGTGGAGAGGGACTCGAGGAGGGAAAGGGAGACTGAGATTGAAGGAGAGCAAAGAGGGGATGGTGTGCGACGCCTGCTAGCGCACCTAGTAGGCTGAGGCCCAACTCGCTGATACCCAGTCTCAAGCCTTCGCCTAGCCCCGCGAGTTGGTGGTGCTGGCGAATCTCTGTGGTGCGTCGGATGTGCTCCTCATCCAGCGAGAGTTCATGCAGATTCCGTGCAACACTGGATGCCAAGCCGGTCAGTGAACTACACACTCCACTGCATTGGATAGGAAAGAATTTGATGCGATGCCCGCCTTATTTGAACTCCTCAAGGCGGTAGATTTTTAAGAGATCTACTTGCACTGTTAAGTACATGACGTGAATGCAAAATAAGACCCTAGGAAACGTAATGAAAGGACAATGATAGACTTTTTCGGATTTGCTTAAAAACGATGAGCCAAAAGGACCAAATATTGCAGAGAAATCGCAAAATTCGAATAACTGAGTATGGAAACTTGAATGTTTGACCTCTTCACAGGAGGAGTGTGCTTTCGTGTCTGCAAATCATGCCATAGGGATGGTGAAAACCAAAAACAGTAGAGTTCCATATCTCATGCAGGTTGCATTTATGTCTAGAAATCAGTGGGTACAGCAACTGAATTTCATTTCGACACTCCATTCACACTGCCTTATGGAAAAGCCTAAAGACGGTTTGGCTTGTTATAACTTTATGCAATTTCCAAATGGCACAGGTGAAGGTTTGAAGGTATCAAGAGCATAGGACAACAAGTCGATTTGAAATAATAAAGAGAAATGGCACCAAAGGTTAGCTTAACTTAAGACCAATTCAAACGATCGTACCCAGTAGTGTGCTTCGCTAAAGACACCAAACCACGAGCGAGACCTCTTAACAAATTCAGCTGTTCCTGAGTGGCCGTCTTTTCACCGTCTGCGAAATGAACCAGATCCCAGACACCCTCAGCAAAAGATGCCACCAGGCAAGCGGGATTGCCGATGAGCTCTAGGCTGCCCAAGACCAGACCCGCTCGAATCAATACTTGTGAGATGTAATGCATACTCAGCTGTGAAAACAATGTCTTCGTGTCAAGCACAGCCTCGGAGCACTCAAAGCTGTTAAGTCGGAACTGGGTAGTCTTGCAAGTGATGTGCATTCCGACCTTGACCTTCAAAGCAAGCTGCAACGAGACAGAGTGGATTTCAAATTTGTGAAGACAGAGGATGGTGGAAGTTTGCAAGTTCACAGTATCTTCAACATCCCCTCCAACTCGAGCAGGGAGAGCACCTCGCAGATCTTGCATCCATAAGGCGAGAGCGTAGAGCATGCTATCTTCAAGGTAAGCTTCAATTGATGGCAATCGAATATAAAAGCTGTCAAAGAGGAAGTCTGTGGGGGAAAGGTAGCGGACTTGACAAGTGCAAGAGGCAACACCGGTGCCATTTTCCTCCACGGTGCAAGGAAGAACAGACCGCATGAGAACAGGAAAATCGAAGGTGGACAAAGTGATTTGAGCGAGATTATCTATTTGAATCAGAGAGGAAGTGATGCTGAAGTCGAATAAGAATGCATTCTCCCTCCTCGTATATGTGGCGCCAATGCGTCGGATGCAAACACGAAGGAAATCTTTCAAGCCTGATGCACCTAGCGGAAGTACTGAGCCACATACTGGCGCAAAAATCAACGTCGTATCGATGAAAACAGTTAGGGACAAGGGTTGATCAGCACGTGGCCAATGCGAAAACATGGGTTTCTGATCAGTAAAAATAGTCAAGTCAGTGCAAAATGGAAGGACCCCATTAGCAATCTGCTGAACAAAGACTGTTTTGTTTCCAAATCTTAACGGAATGGGACTATCTTTACAGTCAGCTACTTTTATGACCACGTCGTCTGAATGCAGACGCAGAAAGAGATGTGCGTCCTCATGGCAAAGAAATGTTGATACAGGTAGTGCCGCAGAAGTTTCACCATCGATCCGCACTCCGGCAAGGTGATCGAGAGATATCTGAGGGATGAGCACCAACTTTCCCCCACTTGGCGGAACACAGGGTAGAGCATTTGAAACAGGAAGCTGATGAAAGTTAGAAAGACTGAGGAATGAGGCTTCAAACAAAAAATCAGTCTCATTAGTCAAGCTGCAGCCAAGTGAGTAGGAGAGAGAGGGAGCAAAGTTATCCAAGTAAAGAGTCCACAGTCCCGTGTGCAGGTCATTACAAAGGTTTAGAAGAACTGACCACTCGCCTGTGTCTCCATCTGTTGGGGAAAAAGTACGAGGACTAGGTAGGATCCTGCACATATGAAGGGTTTTAAAGGTGAACTAAACCATCAGATTAATAAATGCAACAATCAGCAAGAGTGATAATTTAATAATTTATGTATGTCAGCCCAAGTTTCACCTAGAATTCGTTGGAAAAGTTAACTATTTGGATTCCTTAAAAAATATTAGAAATTCTTGGCTATTAACAAACAGTCTCACAAGCTACAGAAAGAAATCTCGATGAAACAAAAGCGATTACTTCATTATCGGTTGGAGAGAATTCGTACAAACAGTATGAAGTCAGAATCAGGGAACTGAGCTCACCTTCATTGAGAGTGGGCAGCGAGATGTGGTAATAACGATTATATAAGAAAGTAGCTGAACAAGAACGAACGCCATCGAATGAATAGACTCCAGTTAAATGGAGAGAACGGCTCCAAAATGTACCCGAATGGCTCCGAAGAACAAGAAGATGTGCGAAGGACACACCATATAAATCGGCGTCGTCGAAGTCCACTTCAGGATGAGAGTTGTTCCAAAAGAGTATTGGAGTCAAGTTGTCGCCAGACTTTGGTAGAGCTAAAACATCGGCTCTAAGCTCGTCTAAGGATGCCTAAAACACAAAAAATACGCAATGAAAATGTTGTACAACTATTTTCAGCTACAAAGCTAGGTGAATGAGCACAATGAACATGACACTTATGAAGGGCTTCTTGAGCGTTAGAACGCATCGAACTTGCCTAAGTGAATAATGACAAATAACGATCACAGCCTGTGTGAAGAAAGCAGAAGGAGGTTATCATCTACTGTTGTTGTCGTTGTTCACTGTATGAGGAGGTCGGGTAAAAAGGAGAGATGGCTGAGGACTCACCATAGGAAGAGACTGATGTACGTGAAGGGCAGGCGTGACAATGGGTTGGCAGAAAAGAGGATGCCCTGTTCGATTACCGACAGACAGAAGGGGTTCAATGCTGATGGTGACGACGCCTCGAGGGGGTGCAAAGTAGAGGTGAGCAACAAGGCAGCATACCACCCGACCGAGGCGCAGAGCAAGCGGCGCCAGAGTGCACGAGCGCGTAAGGCTCACCACTGCCTCTGCTGCCGCTGATCCACCACGGTTTCGCTGCTGCTGAGTCCGTGACACACCACTTACCGTTAGCGTCACCGCCTCACTCGGAACGGTGATGGAAGGGGAAAATACAGATTTGTGGACTAAGAGGGCAGGCGACCACACTGTATTGCCATTAAGGCTGATTCCAAACCGAAATAGGCGCTGAAAGTTGGCAATATGGTGCATTTTGTAAGAGTTTATGCAGGATCCAGCACCTATGAATGCGACTTAATTGAAGTGGATTGCAATGGTATGTAGCACAGTTTCATGCCTGAGTACACATAATGGTTGTGGAGTAAATGCCCTTAAATTGACCTCATCCGTAAAAAGAACAAAAGCCTTACAAAACTGAGAAAATCAAAAATGTTTCAAATACTGACTTTATACGTCATAAACGTTGTCAGAAATAAAAGGAATGGACAAAATACACTCTAAGGTTGGTGCTTGGTAGCACTTCACTGAGCTAAAACGCGGTCTCAGGAGGATAAGCCAAAAACACCGCATTTTTAATAAGTGAAAAGCAGAATGTGATTACTTCACCCGCAGCGGGTATGTGGCAGGAACTGGAATCAAATCTGACAGCAGACTCATCTGGAAGATTAATGTCCTTCAAATTGCTTGCAGTACAGAGCTGCAGACAAATACCACTGCGGTTACTTATGAGAAGCCAAGGCTGCACAACAACGTCAAGGTGTCCGGAGAGTGCCCTCCAAGGTAGTAAAAGCGATGACCCAAAAACCGGGGTCTTGTCGCTAGGTTAAACCGGAGAAAGAAATTAATAACAATTTAAAGATTGTCAACCTCAAAGGTTTTGGAATGGCAAACTCACGGGTACTGAAAATTTAACGCAGGCACGCTGCCTCGCTGAAAAGCGACTAAAACAGAAGTTGTGGATTCCTTAGGAATTTCAAAGCTCCTAGAGATTCCTTGGCCAGAAGAAGTGAGAAAAGAGACAGAAGATTTGCAAGAGGCATCTGAGACCAGAGTTAGTAGTATCGGCAACGCATTCGTGATGCTGAGCACCGGTGTTATTGTAATCTATCCAGGAGTCAAAACACCCAAATCAAAGAGGAAGAACTAAATGAGTGGAGTGAGTTGATGTGATTTTCATAACGCCTACTTACCAATCTAACTGGATCCGATACCATTTCGTAAAACACGTGATTAACTTTGAGTAGCACGGAACAAGCAGTCTCTGCGACAGGGAGCTAGGTGTTGATGAAAGACATTAGTTTTTTTGCTTTTTTTGGTACCCATAAAGGAATATAAATGTCAAGACTGCAAAATTTATCTACATAAACGGGAAAATTTAAAGACAGATCAAAAAGAATTGGGAAAAATGGAATTAAATTGTGGCTTGAGTTCCAAAACACTGTCGTGATAAAAGGTGGAAATCTAAGGACCTAAATAGACACTTGCATTTACCCATAAAATCCTCTCTTCTTGAGCAGTCAACTTCTCAATCTCCAAGGGCACGAACGCGTCAGTACGCAAGGCAGATAGTGCAAGTTCAGGAGTTGCTTTCGGCGAGAAGCAAAGGCCGTAAGAAGAAGATGCCGTAATGCACTTGGTTAAACCATTGGGAAGGCGGAGAGAAAGATCAATGGGAAGTTTGTTCTCCATAGTGAAAGTTGGATGAATGATAATCTAAGCAAAGGCAGGATAAGCAGGACGACACTATTCAGCGTTTGAAGATACTTTGTTGGGGAACTGAAGATAGAAACTGTACTGTATCAAAGCACTGTAATCTCAAGTGAATTCAGCTGTTTCCAAAGGGGAGAAGCAGAGCTCGATCAGTGTAGGTAGGCTCGAGCATTAAAGAAGAGAGAAGATTAAGTACAGCAATGCTTGCCTCGCCAGGGAGTCCAGACGAGGATCGAGGAGGAATAAGGAGAATTGCGAAGGGGAAGAAATCATCCTGAGGCTCAGCATCATCCCACTGGATTGGCTGTGCAAAGGTGCCATGAGCGTGCTCAGGAGGCCAGGCGGTAGACAGTGGAGCACTCCGAACCATCATTTTCTTAAAACAAATACAAACATTTTCGTTTAATCACGGTAAAGAGAGCAGTTTTTCCACATTTTTTGAGTACTAAACATTCAAATTGCTTGTTTGTGTTGGAGAAAGCACATTTGGGGTGGTAGATTAACGGGATCTAACGGTTCAACTGCGTGCCTGACGTAAACCAAATTCGTTATCAAGTTGAAGCAATACAGTGCTAAGTGTAAAATCTACTGTCTGCAATCTAGAGCTTTCAAAACAATGATCATTGAGCACAATTCGCAAACCGGTACGTTCAAAATGAGAATTGATTTAAGGGACCATAAAATGAATGCCAATTAAATTAATAGGAAATGTGTAAACAAATCGTCGATGGAAAAATGGTCTACATTAATCCATTGCCGCATAGCAACGTTCATGACCCCATTATTATCTGAGTGATTGGTAAAACCAGTTGTTATAGTGGATTCTTTAAGGCTCTCGATGAAATATTAGAAAACTAGGCATTAAATCAGGTCCACAATTACTAAGCTTAACTGAATTACTTGCGATTGTATCAACTTCACGATCAAAATATTCAAGCAATAATGAGACATGAGTATAATGTTGTTGAGTATAATGTTAGCAAAATGTTTTCCCAATTAGGAAGACGTGCGTGTTTTTTGTCATTCGAAATAGAAGGATCAACATCACCGAATTTCGCTCCATATTTATATTGCTGAACCCAACTTATGAGCTTACAGAGCTAGTGCATAAAGAAATCCTGAGGGTAATTGTCCGGGTCTTAGCCATTACGATCGGTCGCCACGATGTAAAACATCCTCCAGCTTCCACGATGACACTCATGATATTGGACAGCGCACTTGCCGCCGGTCCATCGGCCGAAGAATAACTGAAATACTGCTCTACTATAAGCCGCCTATCTGTCCGATTGCAGATCTCCCAGCCTGTTTTACCCTCTCCTGTTATGATTTGGCTTAGCGCATGGACAAGGTCACTGCTGCAACACAAATGGCATGTCCCGATGGAAATGCACGCCCCATTCATACTGAAAACGTGTTCCACTTCACCCAACAACTGCATGTGTGCTCCGTGTGGACTGAAGACGTGGATGGCCATAGATTCCACTGCAATACCTGCCGTCAGTGTGGATTCAGCGTGTGTGATTGACTGGTCAAGAGCCGGTATAATTGCTGGCGCCTGGTTGGGCGGATTTCCAAAGGAAGTCGCTAGTATAGCACGCAGTTTAAGAACTGTCAACCGCCCCATTTCGAGACTGGGCTCCGGCATCTACAAGTGCCAAGCTAACAGTTTTAATTACGAAAGCGAAATCCACCTTTGAATGTGTAAATTATATAGATTTTTCGTACGATAGTTGGAAGCACATAGGAACAAACACCAAATGGATGACATGCCTGCCATGTAGAGAGACAGAAGTCGTCAAGTCTGACGCAAAATGACACTGGCGTTGTGAATTCGGGAATGTAGACGGAATCAAGTTGTGCGCAGGCGGCCAGAGCATACGGAGAGAAGGAAACAGGAATGGTAAAGCGTTTGCATTCAGGAGAGGCAGATTTCTCCCTAGACCACGCACGCATATATTTGAGCACAGTTTGAAAAGTCAATCCTTGATAATGAGAACTAGTAATGAAACTGACTGTGACAAATAATTGTTTTTGAAACTCGTAATTAACTAAACGGTACTTCATTAAGCATTTTCATATATGTTTGGTAGAACGGCACTTACGTAGAGGTAATTCTGCCAACACAACTGATGAGAACTCTCCACGACTTTGAGGCCACTGGTAAGGGTAAATTCGAGTTAGAGTCAACCATGGGACCCCACAAAACGTTTCTGTCACTCAAAGAGAATCCACGAACTAGCTGCTGCCTTTGGGCTTGAGATACTATCTCTAAGGAATGTGGAAATTCAGCCAAAGTTTGTGGAAGAAGGACGTCGACAGAGGCGTTCTCAAGGAGGTTGAAAGCGGCGTAGGTAACGAAACCACCATAATCGCCCACATAATCACTCCAATATTGCAAGCGACCTGGTAACTTGAGGAGAGTAGAAAGGAGGAAAAGCAAAAGAACGTATCAGTGGTATAAAAGTCCACGCATCTGATCGCACTAGTCATTATTATTGAAGAAATTCCTATTTCATCTTAAAGAGTCAAGTAGTATCATTGGGAAATAAATATTAGCACACGAACGTATTCAATGGAGGAAAAAACCCACCAAAACATTGCCAAGTTCGCCAACATCATTGCCATAAAAGAATGGTATGGGATTCATAGTGAGTCGGATGGGTTGGCGCAGTTCAGGAAATGTCCATGTCATTGTTACACAGTTGGAATCTGCAGCATCTGCCAGAGCGAATTGGTCAAATTCGGCAAAGACGACTTCATAGGGAAGAGGGAGCCATTGGGAGATGTCAGCAAAACCTGTGGATTCCGTGGGAACGAAAAACGAAAAGTCGTAGGCCAACTTCCTTCGCAAGTCGTCGTGAAAGACACATCGACTCGGCAGATGCCATCTAGAAGGTTTCTTCACTTTTAAAATATTGTTGTTTTCTTGATGCATTGCTATAATAAAGGCCTGGACGAGTCTCTTAAACTCATTTCTAAAGGGAATCACTATTTTGGTGCCTCTGGAGATTTCCATGCGTATAACAGTCGTAGGAATGCTCATTAGAGAAACTTCTGTGCACAATCTGAGGGAAATTTCCATGGAAGTGGGAATAAGTTGAAATTCATTCAAGCGAGCGCCGATACACCTCATTTTTAGTTCAGAATAAAAACCTCTCCAGTCCTTTTTCTGTTTAGTCGTTCCGTACATCTGAATCCCCTGTGTGTCGAACCGAATTTCATCGTCTGCATGGCTTAAATGAAGCTGTGAGGAAAAAAACAGCTGGACATAGAGTTTCGGGGATAGGCAATCGTGGTGTACAAACTGCAACGAAAGAATCCTTACATGGATTGAATGGGTATCGAAATGTAGTTGACTAAAGGTTGTAGTAAATGTGGTGATGAGTGCTTTGATATCAGTTGCATTTTTGGTATGATTGTTCGAGAAATCAGGCAAATCGAAAGACTTTGTTAGGTTTGAAAGACATACAAGCATGTTTGGCGTGAAAACAAACGTCAAGTCTCGTTGAATACGAACTACAGCATGGAAATGCTGTTCCTGCAACAAAAACAGGAATACTATTATGACGCGAATGAGATCATCAAACTGGAGATCATTGTCAACTTGCCTTTGGATTTTGACAGGAAAGGTTAACCAGAAGCAATTCGTCGTTGCCAGAAGTAGAGAAGCAAGCTCTTTCAACTGACGACGCTGAGTCAAATATATGACTTTGACCAACCTCTGTGACTCGTGGAAGAGGCAGGCGGGTTGGCAGATATGTTTGATGCTCCGGCTGAGGTGCAGTGGGAGTCCAAAACACGCTGTTGTGCCAATCAGACTCAAAGCCTTCAGAAAATGTCCTCAAATGCACCCGTAAGTCATTGAGTCCCATGTTAAATAAATCTGGTGACCATCGAAGGTGTGGTTGAATAAATTCTATTACAGATAAATCCCACTGACATTCGGTAGCGTTTCTTCTCGCCCACAAAACAAAACGCATTAATCCGCAAGTAAGTAGAATTCGAGGTGGCTGAAATGTCCAGGCAAACTGATTTACTTCGGTTGACTCTTCCGTTTGTTCATTTGCTCCCCCACTTACACCCATCAAATTCCACAAATATGTGGATAAAAAGGATTCATTCAGAGTCACGATGATATCTTCACTTATATTTACTTCCAAAAGCGAACTATAGAGCAGTCTTGCCTACAAAACAGAGTTAGGCATCAGAAGTGAGGAGACATGAGCGGAGGCAATGAATGATGCAAATGTTCACGTTGGGTTACAATATTTGTCGCCTGAACAATGCCTACTTCATTCTACTTCATTCATTCACATTCTGCACGTAAATTAAAACACAATTTGCCTCCAGTTAACCGCTGCAAGATAAATTTAGTCAATGGGGTAATGAAGTGATTAAAAAAATAAGCTTAAGAGTTAGCAATAGGACGTTTGTGAAATAAAGCTGAAGTCAAAAAAGTTATTAACGTGGTCACCTGGCCATAAGTGAGATTGGTTTCGCAAACAGGAGCGGCAAAGACAGCTGTTATGTCGAGAGGACGTAAAATTGGCAGTATCCAGACAGCGTCCTTGCTGAAACAAGTCAAGACAGATCGAGAATAAAAAAGTCTTCATTACATGGGCAAGTAATGTTGACACTAGGGAGTTCACATGTCATTAAGGCGAGTTGCAGCCTGATTCCACTCAAAAGCGGGATATTGACCGATCAGAGTGGGTTGGTAGTCGAGGCTGTGAGCGCTTCCTGTGAAATTTAGAGCTTCAACAAAATTGACTGCCGAACAAGCTAGGTCTTTGAGACGCAGAGCAAATTGCCTATCCTCGTAAACGGATCCGACTTTACTCGTCAAGGTGATGGCTTTCGAATGGATAGACGCAGCTTCTGGCCTGGAGGTGATGCGGTTTGTTGGAAAGGGATGAATTTGCATAGCACAAAGAGTAATGGCCAGGGTATCACAGGAACTAATAGTTCCACAGGTAGAATGAAGGAGCTGAAAATAACACACGGAAAAATGGCTTTAAGTATAAGGGGGTACGAAAAACATCGAAAACCCACTTACTCCTGAGGAGGGAACGAAGAGCCGCAATTCGTCAAGTGCAATGAACAGCAACGGCATACAATTCCCTGAGAGCGGTGCTTGTACACCAAAGGACCTCCTACTATTTGTTGAAACGATATTCTTGGAGTCATGAAGCACATTCAGATCATCTTTCAGGCAAAACGCAAGCTGTGGACAGAGGACCACATCCAAGGGTTTTAATTTTATGTAAACACAGTTGACGAAGGGAGGACCAACATCATCAAGCTTTATCCGATCCTCGCCCTGAAGAAACCGTTCACTCTGTCTGTCCAGCCAGTGTGAGAAACGCTTATTACCAAAAAAACGACATAGAAAGGCAGCAGGGCAACGAGTGAGGGAGATGACAAGTTGCGATGTGGATTGAAAGTGACAAGAGGGTGTAACATCTACTTCACTATCACTATCGACTCTCTGAGGTTCCTGAGGTTTTGGACGCCTTTGGTTAACCTCCGATTCTTCGTAAAACGCTGTTCCTGGACACAAAGTAACATTCTGAAAGGGCCTGATATGCCAGTGTTTTGGAGAAATTAAGGGAAAGCACCTAGAGAAAAGGAATTGGTATGGAAGGTGATTCTGCATACAGCATGCAAAAGTTTATGAGATCAAACACCTCTGTGAAGTTTGCAAAAAGATGCAAATACGTTCAAGCTGCAATCGAAGATTGAGGTAGAATGGAGTATCGTAGATAGAGATGGTTGTGCGGAAATTATTTGCCTCCCATATGATCTTTGACTGCTCATCACTCAAGCACAGCTCCCCAGAGGTGATGGGAAGCATTACTTGAATGGCACCCCTAATGGGAACTCGTGAAGTGGATGTGCGTGGCATGTTGGGTGGAGTGAGATGTAAAGTGGCATTTCGCGATTCAGCTAGAGAGCATGACGAGGAGTGATTCACACAAGAGACTATTGAGGAGGACTTCTTTGTAGAGCTGAAGAGTTCCATACCGCACGGTGTCGTCTCAGTTGACGTCGAAGCATTCGAAAGGCTATCAACATCCTTTGTTTTGCAAATTTGGGACCCAATGAGCCTCTTAGTAGCGAAAATCTAAAAATGACGCAAGCATTGAGCATTTAGTCATCGAGCATTCGGTAGTCAAGCCAACAGTGTAGTGTTTCGTCTGGGACATGGCGACCAGTACTGTCATAAGAGCATTCAGCGATGAAAAACAAAGCGGCGTTTCAGTGGTTTGCGCAAATAATAAGGGCAAGGCCATGCTAGGGAAGTACAACTGCATATTGCTTTTGGCAAGCCCTGAAAAAACCTAATTGCACCAATTACGAATGCTTATACTCAGACGCTGTAGCCTGTAACGCAACTTTGAGGTAGGTTTATAGACAGCAAGGAAAATGGCGATGATGGAAAAGATGAATAACCTTAGCGTTACCTCGCTTAAGAGATTCGATATTCGCATTTGAATGTCAGAAATAGCAGCCATAATATGAATGACGTCTCTCAAACGCAGGGAGTCATTGGGAGTGCTTTTCGGTCTGTGAACTATGTCGAAAAGCAGGCTCCAAGAGATCGTGGAGAGCGCATTGCCCGGTTGAGATGTTGTGATTACGAACGAGAGAGTGCAGGTCAAATCAGCCAGTTGGAGAAGACGGGTTGCCTCTCCAATCGAGATCGCCGCCCCAGTTGCCGCGCCCTCCCACATGGGACGGTTCGGAATCAGATCTACTGCCTCAATATCAGGGGCATCGTGGTTATGACGAAGTCTATGCTGAGCTCCTAACGCCTGTTTTTCCTCCAGCTCAAAACTGTACAACCTAATGCCACCTGTCCCTTCCGTCGCAGAAAGAGGTGCCGAGGAAGGTATATTCTGGGACTGAAGAAGCGGGGTGGATTGGAAGCGCGGTCCTCTGATTTGGATTTGAGGGAGAGTTAATTCAACTACTTTATCACGACTTGTTGCATCGAGTGATGTGAGCCATGTGTCCAAGTCGCAGTTAGAAAAGCAATCCATTGTCGGAACAATGTAGAGAGTTGAAGCCAGAATCGATAACTAAAACGTTCAATTTTGGTTATTATTTCGACTTTTGAACATATCGCAATGAATGGCAAGTCAAATTTGGGACTATGCATTACAGCAACCCTATTTGACAAGGCTAACAAGAGAGCAGTCTGTCCTATTAATTCTTCAAGGCTCTAATGGTAGATATTCCT